TATTACTCAAGAATCTATAAATGCACAAATTAACAAATAAGGATGCATGTAATTGGAAGAAGTTAGTGCTTTTGTTTTTGTTACCTTCTATTCCACATGGTATCAATTGTTTCTTATAAAAAAAATTAAATAAATAAATACATGAATTAACAATCAAAATATGTTCCTGCCAAATCTATCAGTTTAAACATCATCTTAATTCTTTCAAATGATAAATTAAAATGCAACTATAATTTTTGCATAAAAACAAATTGATAGTGGAACCAAAAAGATAATTAATGTATATTTATATTAATTTTCTTTCAAAAAATAAAATAACTTCCATTTCTAATCTATTTTTTTTCTTTTACTAAATCTTACCTTTTTTTGAAGTAAGCAAAAAGAGAGAATTAAGATGTAGGTTTGCCGATGTGAACCGAAGAATCGACTTTTTTCTCTGATATTTTTTTTATGATTCTATTTATCGAACATTAACGATTTTACTATATTGAAACACTATTGACTAGACGCTCGAAGATGTGTTTTATCAAGTACAAGGTCACTAGAATAAGAAAAACTTCTAAAGTATATTTGTTTTGACTCAAGCTATGGGAGGAATTGAGTGGCAATATTTGTTAACGTGTTGAAATAAGAACTGAATTGAAATCAGATCTATGCTTCAAACTAGGGGTGGGCACCGACTTTGACGGAGTTGGAAGTCATGAATTCGAACTTACACCGACTTCAGTCAGAGTGAGAAAGATGATTTGGGATTTGAGGGGCTTAAGGGTTTGACTTAATAAGATAGGATTTTTGGATTTATAATAATATAATTTATAATTTATCTAAAGTCAGTAATAATATTTGTTGACTTGTAGAAACGAGAATTGAATTGAATTGAACCTGAATAAGATTTACATAACAAAGTGATGTTCAAAAATCAAGATATGAATATCCATAATAACCTCCTCAAATATCAATTCAATACAAATACAGTCATAGAATTTCAAGTCCAAAACAATATGGATAATGTTCATGGTTTTATAACCCATTGTGCAAAGGACTAGTTATTGTACTTGAATCATTTTGAATATCAAATAATATTTTTTATTTTAAATATCATCAAATTTTAATTATCTAATTTTTTTTAAAAAATCAACTGATTCTCTATCATATATATGCAAGAAATTGAATGTCAGTTCCTAGAACAAGAGAAAAAAAAAAATCACTAGTGCATCTAAGATATGATCAACCTTATTCATCCAACATCTTTAAGTGTCTAATATTAAAATTTTAAATCCAAGTCCATTACAAAACCTAATTAAGATAAGTCACATTATTCAATCAAAATATATAAACTTTCATACGACTATCCTTTACTTGAAATATCATATTCATCCGTGGCTTTTTAGTTATATATAGTCATGGTGGACAATCGGTGGAAGACTTTTTCAATCATCTAAGTTTTTTGTGTGTCTCTACATGACTAAACCATGTTGTTTATCCAAGTTTAGAACTTTATATATCTCTAAAACAAAGTACAACAATTACCTATTAGAAAGGAAAAATCCATTAAATTAACACTTGATCATGGTTGGAGTAAGTATCTCTCTCTAGAATAAGTGAAGAAATAATCTAATCTATATCTTGCATAGAGAACCCACCTCACTATTTCTAGCATAGGATAATTGTATCTACAAAAAATCATCTGTGAATTGATACATTGTGGCACATCGTCTACCATTCCACAAATTTTTTTTACTATAAATAAACTAAGATCTCTTAAATTTCCAAAGAGACGCCACAAATTAATTTGTCCTCATAGTCCATTATCTTGTATCATTAGCCAACATTGTTAAAGATTTCGACCTTAGAATAAAAAAAATAAAGATTGTACAACCACATAGATGAAATCTTGTGAATGCACTAACAAAATTACTAAGTCACATAAAAGAAAGTTCTATTCATAATTATTCAATGTAAACTCAACTAAGCAATCCCTCATATTCATGGAATCAATTATCAAATACAATACCAAAACACAGTCAATACAAAGTACATTGAAACTCAAGTGGCAAAATCCCGCATGCTTTTACCCAATGTAAAATCTATTTCTTTACCCTCAAAAAAAAAAAAAAAAAAAAAATTTTAATCGAGAATTAGAATAATCTATACTACTAATAAAAGTATCATAAGATAAAAAATTTTTAAATCTCTATTTTACCCTTATGTAGGATTGTAAAGACCACTCTATCCATTCACAAGTAAATATCTAAATTACTATCATATACATATGTATTTAAATCTCTATATTATTTATAACATCTTTTTTAATTATCTATTCTCTATATATAAATATTAGTTTCTATAAAAAAATTCATTGGTTATATTACCTTTAAAAAAATATGCATCATTATATTTTCTATAAAATGTTCAAAAAACCTTCAAAAATTCTATCAGTCTAATATTACTCATCTTATATGCAAATATAACATTATACCTACATATGCGTATTTTCTTTTTCATCGAAAAGTTTATCCATTTTATTTCTAAGATAAAAATTAATCGTATATATAATTTTTTTTAAAAACAATTTACGTTACATCAGTATAATTCTTCAATTACAATAGAATTTTTAAGTTGTACTATGATTTTATGTAAAAGTAGACATTGTAGTGTATTTTTAAGTAAAATTTTAATTTTTTAGAATTTTAATATGTTTGATAATATATATTATATTATAGAGTAGTATATTAAATTTTATCCTAATTAACTAATTTTTAATTATAATAAGGTTTCAATGTGATTAGTATATTGACAATTATTTTTATTTTATTTAAGGAATTATAAGTGAAATCCTAATCAAATGAATTTCAAGAAATTTAATTTCTCAAATATTACTAAAAAATTAACCTCAATCATAATTTTTTTTTTTTTTAAAAAAGAACTGTAACTATTTCTTTTCTTTTCTTTTTTTTATAGTTGGAACAAAGAATTTTGTAAAATATACAAAATTTTCATAATCTTATAATAGAATATGAGTAATGAAAAATTAAGTTTTGTGAATTTGAAATGATATTTAATTCAAACACATATATACCTAATATATTTTATTAATTTTTATGTATAAAAATTATTTACGTGTAACGCACGAGATGCATTACTAGTTTAATAAAAGCTATGCAACCTCATTTGCTTCTCTTCTTGACTTCACTATGCAGAGCAACCCCAATAACGAAAGGAAATATCAAAGTTGAGACATCCACGGTAGAAATCCAAAAGTTAAATTAATTAATAATGGGTTAAGAATATTTATTCTTAAGGTTTAAAAGTTAAATCAATTTTTATTGAATGAGGATAAAATTGAATGAAAAGTATGGAGATAGGGAGAGGAGGAGAAATCGATTACAAAAGGAAAACAATGGTGAATATATAATGGGTGACAAAAGTGAATTTATTAAATTTTTGAAGGGTAAAAATGAAAAATAATTTTTTTTATGTTAAGTGCCTTTTATAATTATGTAGTATAAATAATACAGTAACAATAGCAGACTAACAATAGTGTCNAGTGCCTTTTATAATTATGTAGTATAAATAATACAGTAACAATAGCAGACTAACAATAGTGTCGAAAGTGACAAGTTTCGACTAGTAAGGAGTACCTCCGCAACCTCACCAAATCCTCGCACTTAGCGCGGTTGAGGTGCTAAGTGCGGTTGAGGTGCGCACAAGGCATTACAGAAAAACCCTACTTGAGGTCAAAAACAATTATTGAAATGTATTTCAAAATTTTGGGAATTTACTCATGATTCCGATTGAAATAATTAAATCCCCAAACTTTAGGGCATTTTCCAATTAAGTCAACCATCCAGATTCGTCACTAATTATAACGAGAAAGCATAATGTTAATAATAAATGAGTCAACACGTTCAAAAATAGAAACTATAAAACTTGAGTAGCCTGAGTAAAAATAAGTTCCTTAATTCGTATATATACAACACTCAGGTGATGCTTTTTGTTTAAAATTATTGACGAATTTGGATATACGGACATTAAGTTGAAACATGGTTTATAATTTAACGACTTCATTATTTATAGACTGGTGTAAAGATTTCAAAATTTAAACTACAATTTGCCTAAATTTATTTGTGGGAAAGAGGAAACAATGTATATCTATATACCTAAGTGGGTGTAACTTAGTTAGTTATCTTCAAATCTTGATCCCCAAGTAAACTCAATTGGATATCAAAAAAAAAAAGTTAATTTCAGATTGCCAAATCTCAACTATCCTACAGTTTGTTTTTATTTTCCCATTTAATGCAGGATCTGAGCAACATGATTTTCTATCATATTTGGATTAATCCATCATTAAGAAGGAAGCCCATTGATTAAATCCACAGTATCTTGCATCCATGTGGCTTGTCACATTGAATAACTACTTAATAATATTTTTAAAAACAGGATTTATAAAGCCACTAATTTACTTCATTTCAAAACAACTAATTATTAATATCATGTCATTTTTTTATGATAATTCTAATGTCAAATTCTATTTCTAAAACTTTTTTTTTAATGATCCACTAACTATTATAAATGACAATGTACTACTCTATTTGAGTTACCTACATGTGCAGAGGTTTATAGATTCTTAGGCTCATAAAGTAATTTATAACAAGATCAACGGTGGTAACTACTAAACTCGAGGGAATAGTCGACGCAATCTTTGATATCTTGTTAAAAAAAAAAAATCTATAATAGGATTTCACCCATAAAGGATTTATACACACTGGGTAAACCATTAATGGTTTTAATGAACTCATGGTCAATTCAGCGTTAAAAAGGGGATAGTCATGACATTACTGTAATATCTCCAAATCTTTCTAACTATAAATACACAAAAGCTAAACAGAAGTCCTATATAAACAAGGTACCTCCTCATTCAAGCCATGTTCTTCGGCTGTTGATATTGATTGTGTCTTCTACGTTGTTTGAGAAAGTAGAGAGAGAGAAAGAGGTGGCGGATGGCCAAGGAATTGGTGAGGAAATGTTCTCATTGTAAGCACAATGGCCATAACTCAAGAACATGTAATGGAAAAGGTTGCATCAAACTTTTTGGTGTCACGATTAACCTAGTAGAAGATGAGAAGAACCATGAATTAGTTGAATCTATGAGGAAGTGCAAAAGTATGGGGAATTTACAGGCGTGTAACACCGAACACATTGATGCCGGGTATCTTTCTGATGGTCTTATTCATGAGAGGGCCAAAGCAGCCCATGAACGAAAGAAAGGTAATCTGTCATTTCTCTGTTTTTTTTTTTTAACAATTTTATTGATTTGCTTGATTATCAAAGGATTTTAATAANAAAGAAAGGTAATCTGTCATTTCTCTGTTTTTTTTTTTTAACAATTTTATTGATTTGCTTGATTATCAAAGGATTTTAATAAATTCGTATGTAGTTTTTCATACAGATTATGAATTTATGGTACTTTTCTGCTGATAAACACTTGTTTGTGACCTTTTAGATTAAATAAACAGAAAATGTACCAAATGATACAGTTTTTCTTAATAANTCATACAGATTATGAATTTATGGTACTTTTCTGCTGATAAACACTTGTTTGTGACCTTTTAGATTAAATAAACAGAAAATGCACCAAATGATACAGTTTTTCTTAATAAATCAAATTTCTGTATCTCAGTTTTGAGTCATTCTTTATCAAATTTGGATCATCCAAGTGGATGATGATATGTTTCTATGAGTTCTGCAAATTGGTTTCCTTATATTTGTCACCATTTTTTTTCCTCTTGGTGAATCCACCCCATGTGTCGATTATACACNTACCAAATGATACAGTTTTTCTTAATAAATCAAATTTCTGTATCTCAGTTTTGAGTCATTCTTTATCAAATTTGGATCATCCAGGTGGATGATGATATGTTTCTATGAGTTCTGCAAATTGGTTTCCTTATATTTGTCACCATTTTTTTTCCTCCTGGTGAATCCACCCCATGTGTCGATTATACATGCATTAACAATGAATCTTCTTAGTCTCTTATTTAATTGAGAATTGAGTTTTTTGAAGAGAATTTTCTTCTTGTTATGGCATTGCTTGTGTAGAGACTTTTAAGCAATCTGATAAAGAATCTACTTCATTCATCAGGAACACCATGGACAGAGGAAGAACACCGAGCCTTCTTAATTGGATTGGAAAAGCTAGGTAAAGGTGATTGGAGAGGAATTTCAAAGAATTTTGTGCCTACCAGGACCCCAACTCAGGTGGCTAGTCATGCACAGAAATATTTCTTAAGGCTGGCCGGAACTGAAAAGAAGAGACGGCGATCCAGCCTCTTCGACATGTCCTTCAAAGAACCAGTAATCCATCTCTTCCCCATCTTATCCTCTCTTTCAAAATTTTCAGCACTTCCACTTGTTGTATTCATGACTTTGTGATTTTACAGACTTCACCTCCTCAAGCTTCCGCTGCTTCACCCTCTCATAAAGCTCCTGAAATATCACAAGTGGTAAGTTTTTGCATTGTGAAAACATTTTTGAACACTTCACTCAATGTTATTTAAACCATAGAAAGATTTATTGATGGTTTGTTAGTCATACAGGCTAGTACCTCCCTTGTTGCTCCTTTGAGGAACATTGGTGAAATACAAGGGCAGGTAAGTCTTACCTGTCTTCTAGTATAATTGAAAGTTGTGTGAAATGTATGATAACTTATCTCCAATGTCTCTTCATTATCTTACAGGCTAGCACATCAGGGCCTATTGCAACCTTTGAAAAGCCACCACTTTCACCCATGTCTAGGAGTTATGGAGTTACAGATTTCCATGGTATGCGATACATGGTATGAGATTCATATTGCTGTCAAATTCATTTTGATTGAATCTAGTTATTTTTTGATATTTATCGAGTTATAGTACCTCTGGTACCCCCACTTCCTTCAATTCAAAGGGCGAGCAACCCTTACACAAAAAGGCCCTGAAAGGGTTCTTCTGCATACATTTATATAAGCCCTAAACTGAAGTAGGTAGCCCTGTGAGCTGAACTAAACTTTTGTTAGGAGTAGGTTTGGGTTTGTCCCTTTTTATGTATTACTGAAGAGCTACCAAGCCTCTATGCAAGTCTTCCTAAAAAGGCCGCCTTACTATAGATAGGGTGTTAGCATTTTTGTTTCATTGACAGTTTTTTAGCTTTGCCTCTCTGGGCTAGTGTGAAATGAAATTCTGTGGCCGACTGAGCTAAAATCATTCTTCAACTTCCAAACTAGCTGTGTTGAGTGACCAAAGTGATGACTAAAACTGGTTGTTGATCAATATATGCCTTTGATGCCATTCAGGCTTGTCATGAATTATATCATGGTCATTATAATATACTCAACAAAAATGTGTGAAAATTTCTAAATGGTTACACTGATTTTCTCATGTTTAAACAAACAGGTAGGAGCCTCCACAAATGGCCAGAACTTTCCTGCACCAAATCATATGCAGGCCATGTCATTTGTTCCGGTGATGAATTTCCCCAACCAGGGTTATTTCGGTTTGCCCAGTAGCCACGGGAACTTTGCCACTTGTGCACCATTTATGTTGTCAAGGGATCTGCTTCCACAACCGGTCCATCAAGGTGCATCTCAGGCAGGTCCTGGAACTTCAGGGACTAAAAAGGATGGTCTGGAGCTCAGCATTGGAGTTCTTTCCATAGAAGAATTGAAGAAGTTGGACTGCACTCTTTCAGCTAAATAACTTACTTGCCAATGCATTCTGTATCATTTACCTGTTCAGTTTTTCCTTGTGCCTTTTATCTGCTGAAGGTAGAAATAGGATGAAAATTGAAGAAATTTGTTTGACCGATTAATTTCAAGCCACTCTTTTGTTTTGTCATTCTTTTTAGTCAGCTAGTTCTTTCTCCACTTAATGTTAGATTTTAAGAATTTTTTATATAGATGTTTTATGAACAGTTGTTTCTATTGAATTTGTAATTTAAATTCCAAAAGTCGAGACTATTCATGCCCATAAAAAGGACCTGTGCAATAGAAAATTCATTCATTGTTCTAGTTTCTGAACAGTTTCATTTGAGAGTTTCCTATCCGCCAGAATTTATCAAGGCTTCATTGTATTCTAGAACTGATTGCTCATGAACGCTCGTGAATTACACGTCTCAAAGCCTAGAATTCATTGAGTTAAATAGATATTACTTTCAAAATTATCACGTGATGCTACAAAACAGTGCTTGTACTGCTTGCTGCCTAAATAATCTGGAAAATAGCACCTAAGAGTGCCTCCTATGATTACTCCAAACACTTCTTTTTTTTCTTTTTCACCATAAAATGTAGATTTTGCTGCTTGGTCGAATGTCAGTTCACGTTTCAGTCGCGTGTCAAAAGAATACGTGATTCAATCAATTATTCAATAATATAAAATTTACGTATGTGCCAAAACTTGAGCTTGGCAGCCTAAATGAGACACAAATTAATTGAAACTTCTCAACGTTGACAGAAGAAAAAGAGAGACACTCATCAATATTTGTTCCTTGAACTTGAAGCTCTGCGATCTTCATCTTGTTTTACAGAATCAAAATCTCCCAATTCCAATGGTAAAGCCCCTGCCTGAGTACCATCGCTAGCGGTCTCCCCTTCAATCATCGTCAGTCCTTCAATTTTTGCAGCAATTGAATCACCTTTTATAGGCACATCTACATCTGTTTGGAAAACAAAACACCAAGTTAGAGATAGGGTACCATGAGCAATGATAGACCTCATTTTCTTTTGCAATTATGTGTGTGCACAAACTTCCGATCCGGTCAAAAGTCAATCATTCACGCCGGGACTAGAGTATTTATGAGGGATAAATTCATCATGGCCTGATCCAAGGGTTATTAAGATTTGACCTCAAGACGTTTATTATCACTTTAACCATCTTAGAAGTAATATCTATAATTAGTGGACCGCGTTATTGTTAGACACCAAAATCTGGTCTTATAAGAAAAAATATGTGATTTCATTATTTTTCATTTATTGATAAAGAATTGTTTGCATTATTTTATAATTAAATGAATAAATATCAAATTGACATTTAACTTGTAGGAGATCAATGTCTGATGGATTTTTGTATTTTTAGTCTTGTAAGAAATATTAGTCACGATTTATATGAACACAACACAAATATGATACAAATTTACAATGATACGACTCTTGTATAACATAACTTAATGATCAGGATAAAAATATATATTACCAGGATTGGAGAAGAACCACAGTACAAAAGCACATAGAACGAGAATAAGAGGAATGACATGAACGGCATTTTCTGCAAATTTAGCGCGAGTTCTTTCTTTCTTAGCCACCTCTNGCACATAGAACGAGAATAAGAGGAATGACATGAACGGCATTTTCTGCAAATTTAGCGCGAGTTCTTTCTTTCTTAGCCACCTCTGTCAGTGGTTCGTACATTGGCAACTCGTTGGCTTCCAAAGACAACGCTCTGAGAGCCGGCGACACCTTCGATGAAGGCGACGATGAGTTGAAGTGATNCTGTCAGTGGTTCGTACATTGGCAACTCGTTGGCTTCCAAAGACAACGCTCTGAGAGACGGCGACACCTTCGATGAAGGCGACGATGAGTTGAAGTGATCGTCGGAGACTCGAGTCGTGCTTGCCGATCTATACATCGTTCCTTCTTCGACACAAACGGAGAAATTGAACAGAGCAGTTGGAAAGAGTAAAAGAAGAAGAGGAGAGACAAAGAAGTGGTTAACGAAATCAGTGGTAGCGGCTTTGGATTTGGAAGAATATGTTTTGTTGGAGGTTTTGACTGTCCTTGTTTTCAGTGCTCTGGAAGTAAGGTATACTATATCATTTCCTTGTGGACCAAATCTAAAGTTGTCCGAGTTACCAGTTACCACGTGTATAACGCTTTAAATTTGAATTTTGATAATTTATTTGAATCATATTATGAGAAATTTGTTATTTATGAATACTTTTAATCTCGATTTAAATGTCTTTTTTTTGATTGAATTAGAGAGAAGATTAATGAGGTACATATAAGCGGTTCAGACATCCCCGTTGAATCAAAAATAAATAAAAATATTGTCTATTTCTTAAAAATTCTTTAGGGTCACGCCATGAAAAATTTATTTTTCATAAATATTCTAGTTATGACATTGATGATCTGTCTTTGACTAGACCGAGAAAAAATTAATTGATGTGCGTACAAACTGGTTCGAATACCTCTAACTGTTGAGCTAATTTTTTTATTTTTTTTGTTAATCTAACTTTGTGAAACATAAAAAATAATAAAATGATTATTAATGGTGTTTGGAATTTGTCGGTCCAAGTCCAAAAACAAGGTCTCAACCTGAGGACTGAGGTTACGCCTACTGTGAGCCTGAACTCCCGCATTATATAGAGGTAGCAATCCTCTTCAAGGATTAGCCTAAACAGAAACAAAGGGTTAGGAAAGGGGGCTGGGTGAATACCCGACTTATCACTTCCGAAATTTAAGTTAGTAATGGTTCGTTTGGTACGAAGAATGAAAAGGATGAAGGAAGAAAAAGTAAAAGGAATAAGTTTTCCATCCATGAAGGAAAGAAAATTATTTTCCCTCTTTTTTGTTTGCTAAGAGGAATAGAAAATAGAAGGAATATATTTTTTATCGTTTGGTATTGGATGAAAACTGAAAGAAAGGAAAAACATATATGCCAAATTTACAAATCTACCTTTACATATATTAAGTGAATTTTTTATTACAAATCAATCCAATTAATTTGAAAAAGATTTTAATCCCCTTATTTTTGTTATGAATTAATTTTGGAGGAAATACAACAGTGAATTTATCTCCTAGTGATTAGCAAAAAATTTGTGAACTGGGAATAAAATATATCCAATAAGTAAACGATAAAAAAGTCAACTTAAAAAAATATTGTCTTGCCTTCACTTTTTTCCTCCACTTTTCACTCAAATTTGGGCNAATAAGTAAACGATAAAAAAGTCAACTTAAAAAAATATTGTCTTGCCTTCACTTTTTCCCTCCACTTTTCGCTCAAATTTGGGTNGTGAACTGGGAATAAAATATATCCAATAAGTAAACGATAAAAAAGTCAACTTAAAAAAATATTGTCTTGCCTTCACTTTTTTCCTCCACTTTTCACTCAAATTTGGGCTGAAAATATTTGGTGGGTTGAAAGGATAGAAATCCCCTCCCACTTTCTACTCCCTCGTACTTTCCTTTGGTACCAAACAATGAAAATATTTTCCTTCCCTTCCATTTTTCCTCCCTCACTTTCCTTTCATCGATTTTTCCACCTTACCAAATACACTAGTTGGAGGCTTTTAGCACAGTGTTTTTGTTCTCAGTTTAGTTTTGCGTGTGCGTATCTTTTTTCATCTTTCTGAAGAGTATCTATACCTGAACTAGCAATGAGTGCAAGGAATTGAAGTCTCATCTCAACATTTAATGACTTGCATTTTTATCCATGCGTAACGAATGCTTTCCATTCAGATCCTCATGATTGGCTCACTTAGGCGACAAGACGACTGCTCGGGGCATGCCGAGCATTCATGACCCTATTCCCGATTATTTAATTCTATCTGATCAGCGCTTGACACCTATTTTCAAATGTTTAATGCTTGGGGCACAATATCTCAGGGGTTTTCAAGGACGTTTGGTCGGCGCAAAGACCATTAATACTTTACAATTATGACTGTCAGTTTGGGTCTCTAGGATGCAGTGACTTATTAATAGCTATGTCGCATTCACTCAAGTCCTCATTAATGAGTAGTCGTGTCTTCCTTAAATGTTGGTCCCAATTTGAATACTCTACTCCTTCTGAGTCATTATCATTCANAGTTTGGGTCTCTAGGATGCAGTGACTTATTAATAGCTATGTCGCATTCACTCAAGTACTCATTAATGAGTAGTCGTGTCTTCCTTAAATGTTGGTCCCAATTTGAATACTCTACTCCTTCTGAGTCATTATCATTCATCGCCATCTCCCCCGCGTCTTCTAAGTTCTATAACGACTATCTTTATCTACGTGTCGGTTTGGGGGCTACTGAGCTGAGCTTACTTACCCCTAATTGACCTCTGGCTGAGCTGGATTATGGCTGGGTTGGGCTTTAAGCCTTCCAGCACTATTGGGCCCACCTCTTTGGGCACGGTTTAACCTACTCTTGTCATGAACAAGTTGTTGTGATCCATCTGGGCCATGGTGCACGTAGGGCCTTTTCAATTTATTGGACTTTTGATTATAGTGGCTCATACCCAAAATTTTATCGTTATCAATTATGATCCCAATCAATTAAATATAATCTTATGAAAATTCTTGAACATAATTCCCTTACAAATTGATTTTTACGAACAAATTCTACCTATATTTTTGTATCACATACTTGACGGGGCATGCAACCCAGCTATTCGATTAGTTTTGTTGTGACTGTTATATTTGTGAGTCAAGGGTGATGGTGGCTGTTGCAACTTAAGTTATGATGGGCCTTCGTGGATGGACTTTTTGGCCTGCATGCTGGTGATTCGGGCTGCGAAGCGCATTGCAGTCCCCCTTGGCAATGCTGGTTTCCTCAGTGTATGTATAAAGTATAAACCATGGCAATTATTGAGAACTGTTGTCTGGGCATAATAATTATGGATTTTTAACGGCCCAACCCAATTTTTTCAGGCCCAAGACCATCACAGAAGACCTCATGCAATTTCGGGCGTGCCCGTCAGTCTACTAAATGGGATTTTCCGTCAATCTACCCGGCCCTAGAAGTTTAGCCCAGGCCCTAGCACGAGGCACTCACTGATTGGTTAGATGATATCTAGAAGGTTACACAATACACATTCGCAGTAAAACTCAGAAACCGTATTCCTAGAGAGAGAGAGAGAGAGAGATGGCGGACGATGAGAATGGGGAGTTTTACCTTCGGTACTACGTGGGACACAAAGGGAAGTTCGGGCACGAGTTCTTGGAGTTCGAGTTCAGGCCCGATGGGAAGCTGAGATACGCTAACAACTCTAACTACAAGAACGACACTATGATCCGTAAAGAGGTATTTCTCACTCCTGCCGTGCTCAAAGAATGCCGCCGTATCGTCGCCGACAGCGAGGTGGGTCTTTCCTCTTATACTTCACCGCCTTATTTATTTGTTTGTTTGATTGGTCAGTTAAATAAATTTGAAAGAGAGGAAAATATTTTGGATTTTCATTCAAAAAATAATGTTCGAATTTTTTTTCTGCTTTTGTAAATTTAAAATTGATTGATTGATTGATTTAAATGGTTAGGGTTTAGGGGTTTTAGGGTTCCACTTTTAACCTTCCTTTTTTTTTCCCTCGTGGGTTTTCTCAATTTCTGTTTGATTGATTGGAAAACTGTACAATTTTAAAGAAAGTAGGCTGTTGGATGTTACCACCTGAATTGTTAAAAATGACAAACTTGAACCCTCACACTGGCACACCAACACGCACACATACAAAGGCAATCAAGTAATCTATATCCTAGTATTTATACTAGGCTCTCTGCAAAAATATGTTGTTATGGGTATCTGGATAATGAATAATTTATCGTTTTTGCTCACATTTCGTAGAGAATTAAGATTTCTTTTCACCATTTTTGACATATTTCCTTTTTGGTAACCTTAGAGTTTTGGATAGGAATTGCGGGTTTCAATTTATTCATGTTCATATTTGCAAGGCCTGATTGAATTTTGAGCTTTCCATATTGTAGATTATGAAGGAAGATGATAACAACTGGCCAGAACCGGACCGCGTGGGGCGCCAAGAGCTTGAGATTGTGATGGGAAACGAGCACATATCGTTTACTACTTCGAAGATTGGGTCCCTCATGGATGTCCAGAGCAGTAAAGATCCTGAAGGCCTTCGTATCTTCTATTATCTTGTTCAGGTAAGAACTCAGAAGTTCAAGCAGTCTCCTTGTCATCACATGACACTGTTATTCTCCTTTGGATTTCTGTGGGGTTCCGCTTCCTATTGAGATTCTGGATGTGTCACAATAGGTCACTACTCTTGAATTGGATGGTTAGTCATGTTCATATTTCAGTTACATGAACTTGATTGCTTTGCATGATCAATAAAGTGGGGCTCAATAATGTAATCATGGAAGAAGTTGGGTGATTGGACAGCATTTAAGTAATTTTATTAGCCATTGGTGGGTACAATTTTAGGAAAAAGAATAAAAATTCAAGAAAAAACCAGGAAAATTCCATATGTGAATGTCTTGCTATTTGATTTTTGTTTGATCAACTTGTCTTATGAAAATAAGGCCTGGAATTATGCTTTATATTTGTACTGTGAAGAATTACAATTGTTGTTAGCATGTTGAATTGTTGAGCATAAGATGAATGAGTTAGTTACGTAAAATTTTTAATTTTTAATTATCGCAAGATGACCTGATGTTAATTCCCTTCCAGCAGTTGTGTCCCCATATTTCCTAGGTGCTTTGATGCATGATATTTGTATTTTGATTTTTTGAGTTGTTTTACTTGGAATTCTGGTGATGTTCTGTTGACATTGGTTGTTGGAGGGTTCAATCCTCTAGGAGTTGTGAAAAAATTCTTGCCTCCTTATGCTTGTTTGAAAACAGTCAATATAGATGGTCACCAAAATTGTTAGATTTTTTTTGGGTGTGGGGTTTACGTAGGGGTTACTCCTATTTAGACCTTTGTTTTCCACCTTACTGTCTTTACAGCTCTCACTTTTGTGATGCTGAGGCCCCTTTGGATGGATTATCAAAATTCTATATAAATTTTTGTCATTGTCAAATAAAATGTTAGCCTAGTGGTTGTTGTCTCCTCATTGCAAGTGGTTTCATGAAGGGTCTTGAATGCATGCTGATTGAGTCAATGGTGGCTTGATATGGCACACAGAAAATTTTGTTTGTTTTGCCTTGATGTGGTCTGATTTTGACTCATATAATCTTCCAATTGTTTGGTGATCATTCGGGTGTACACATAGGACTGTTATGTCACTTGCTATCTTCCTTTCCTCAGCTAGTGTGGCCATGGGAACACTGGACTTGCAATGAGAGACTTCGCTTAATTGATGCATAACTTCTGACATGCCCGAGACTCAAGATCAATCTAGGGAATAGGGAATTAATTCCAGTCGATGGAGGAGGATGTGACCACTCTGCCTTTGTAGTTGGGAGATAGTTGGAATGGTTTCAAACAGTCTATGGGCCTTTTCCTGAGATCTTCTTCCTAGGCTAGTGTTGTTTAGGATCTGGAATGGGTAGACTTCTCTTGTAATAACCCTTCAATTCTTCTACTTTTTTGCTGAATTTACAATTCTACCATTAAAGGCGCAGAGGCTTGAAAAACTTAAAAGGGATTCTTCTTAGGTAGAGAGGATTAGTGTCAGGAGCATTGACTATAAAATCCACTGTTGGTGGGATATGGCTAGGGTGTTATTTTTTGGGGTTGGATCTTTGTAGTTGGATGTGGGAAGGGAATAGTTAAGGTTCAGAGGCATTTTTTTTGAGTTCTCTATTTCTTATTTTGCTGAGAAAAAGGGATTATGAGCTAAATTAGGAATGTGAATGGGCATCACAACATCAGGTGCCTTCATCCAAACCACAATATCGTGAGCAAAGCTGGCATAGTTGATTGAGATAGAAGAGTTCATGGGATTTGTAGTTCACGGAGTTAAGCATGTCTAGCCAAACATGACTAATTAATAAACAAGTAGGGTTATCTGATTCGATTAATTAAATATGTTGGGTTAGAGTTAACTATTGCATGGAGTCCTATGACTTCCAACAACATCATTTCATGCCTTGCCTTCTTTGCTGGTGAACTAGTATAGTAACCTTCTGAGCTATTGCTACTAGCTGGTTCTGTCATATCGAAGTTTCTCAAATTGTGTCTTTGGGTCCTGTCTGCAGCTTAAAAGGGTGGGAACACCCATTTCCCTCCAGGTAAAAGTAACCCAAAAAACAGAAGGTAGAGAAAGAACACCAAACCAAGCAACAAATAGCAAGTGGAAAAAGGAAAAGAATTAAGAAAATGAGGAAAGAAGAGGTCAAGGTTGACCGCGATGGTACTTGGGCATGGATAATGTACACAAAAGTTTTCATGCGGAAGCAGATGTGTACAGATGTACGCATTGTGGGAAAGGCCTCAAGATGAGGAGTTTGTCTTCATTTGCTTGTAGCTGGAGAACAGCATTTGGCTACACCTATGTTGTTCAATGAAGTGTGTCTCTGTTACCTTTTATGTCACTTATCAGGCCCTAGTCGGTGATTGGGGCGGTAGACACACATCATTTTACATGAAATCGTCCGAATGAAAACATTATGTACCATTTGTTAACGGCTTGGATTGTGCACTTGATGTGATCTTTAACATTAAATTACCGTTTCTTTTATTTAGCAATGCAATTTTATTTCAGGATTTTGCTAGTTCCTTTTCTGACAGAATATTACTCCTTTAATTGTTGTGGTTCCAGGATTTGAAGTGCTTTGTGTTCTCTCTCATCTCGCTACACTTCAAAATCAAGCCCATTTAGGGGTCATGGCATTACTATGGGGCAGAAAGGCTGTGGGCTTGAGAGTCTTTACAAAGTACCCATTTTATTTTTTTGTATTTCCTATTTGATGGTTGTCTGTTTTGCCAGGGAGTTGGGTAGTTTGAGTGAGGTTACCAGGGATGTTAATTTGTTAGACAAACTTAGGAGTTTGTAATTTTTCATCTTCGCCTTTGTTCTTCTCTTTGTACTTCTCTTTTGATTAGCATGAGTAGACATGGAATTGCATCGAGAACAATGTGCATTTCTTCGTCTTCTGTGTCACTATAGTTACAATGATTGGGCACACCCTGATGTTATCAGTACCCGCTTGTTAATTTTGATGATGTTTTGCATACCTGTCTATGTATTGAAGCCTACTTTGACAGCTGAGAAGGTGGTTCTTATGAGAGCCATTCAACTCCTTGTCATGGTTGGAAGACCCATTTTCTTTTCAAGTATGATCGCAGCTTGATGACCAATTGAGGTGGTTCTTANATGACTTCCAACAACATCATTTCATGCCTTGCCTTCTTTGCTGGTGAACTAGTATAGTAACCTTCTGAGCTATTGCTACTAGCTGGTTCTGTCATATCGAAGTTTCTCAAATTGTGTCTTTGGGTCCTGTCTGCAGCTTAAAAGGGTGGGAACACCCATTTCCCTCCAGGTAAAAGTAACCCAAAAAACAGAAGGTAGAGAAAGAACACCAAACCAAGCAACAAATAGCAAGTGGAAAAAGGAAAAGAATTAAGAAAATGAGGAAAGAAGAGGTCAAGGTTGACCGCGATGGTACTTGGGCATGGATAATGTACACAAAAGTTTTCATGCGGAAGCAGATGTGTACAGATGTACGCATTGTGGGAAAGGCCTCAAGATGAGGAGTTTGTCTTCATTTGCTTGTAGCTGGAGAACAGCATTTGGCTACACCTATGTTGTTCAATGAAGTGTGTCTCTGTTACCTTTTATGTCACTTATCAGGCCCTAGTCGGTGATTGGGGCGGTAGACACACATCATTTTACATGAAATCGTCCGAATGAAAACATTATGTACCATTTGTTAACGGCTTGGATTGTGCACTTGATGTGATCTTTAACATTAAATTACCGTTTCTTTTATTTAGCAATGCAATTTTATTTCAGGATTTTGCTAGTTCCTTTTCTGACAGAATATTACTCCTTTAATTGTTGTGGTTCCAGGATTTGAAGTGCTTTGTGTTCTCTCTCATCTCGCTACACTTCAAAATCAAGCCCATTTAGGGGTCATGGCATTACTATGGGGCAGAAAGGCTGTGGGCTTGAGAGTCTTTACAAAGTACCCATTTTATTTTTTTGTATTTCCTATTTGATGGTTGTCTGTTTTGCCAGGGAGTTGGGTAGTTTGAGTGAGGTTACCAGGGATGTTAATTTGTTAGACAAACTTAGGAGTTTGTAATTTTTCATCTTCGCCTTTGTTCTTCTCTTTGTACTTCTCTTTTGATTAGCATGAGTAGACATGGAATTGCATCGAGAACAATGTGCATTTCTTCGTCTTCTGTGTCACTATAGTTACAATGATTGGGCACACCCTGATGTTATCAGTACCCGCTTGTTAATTTTGATGATGTTTTGCATACCTGTCTATGTATTGAAGCCTACTTTGACAGCTGAGAAGGTGGTTCTTATGAGAGCCATTCAACTCCTTGTCATGGTTGGAAGACCCATTTTCTTTTCAAGTATGATCGCAGCTTGATGACCAATTGAGGTGGTTCTTAGGTTTTTCCGGAATGATCTCTCTCTCCCTCCACACCCCCCCCTCCCCCGCGCCAGCCCGCCACATCAAATATGAAAGTAAACAAGGATTAGACTAATATTGAAGTTAAAAAGTTTGAAATTGTGGGGTTTGAACCCTTACTAAAAAACAATTTTTTTTTATGAGCAATGTTACTTAGATAAAAATATTGATAATATTTATTAATTATTAATATTATTGTATTTAACATTTTTATATGTTTAGGTAAGACGTCATTCACATTTCTATTTTCCCAGATAAGTAAGGTCAACACGTCACCCACACAGCAACAACAATAACAATGCTAAAAGTAAGACTAAAAAGAATTGTCATTTTTGAGTGTTAAATTATTTATTTGTAATTTTGAATAGTATTTTAATATACCTAAATTATAAATTTGTTCTAATAATATGTGTTAAAATAAGGTATCATTTTAATATTTTTTATTACTGCTAAAATATTTTAATAAGTATCCCTTAGAATTGTTTTTAAAAAATATAATTAAATTCATTTACAATCTCTCTTTTCCTTTCTCTAGAATTGTTAAAATTGCCATGTCAAAAGAATTGATATCATTTTTTAATCTTTAATGTCACTCTTTTTTGAACGAAAAAACAAAAAAAACCATGTCCTGGTCCTGGTCCTGGCTGGGCAGGCTAGGCTTTGGTACACGCTCCCCCACCGAATCTTCCATGGACTCTTCTTCCTCCTCCATAGCCCAAGGTCCAGACGATGACATTGCAGCACCGGGCCAGCAGTTCTCCCAATTCGGAGCCGGCTGTTTCTGGGGTGTCGAATTGGCTTTCCAGAGAATTCCTGGCGTGACCAAGACCGAGGTAGGGTACAGTCAGGGCTTTCTTCATAAACCCACTTATGAAGATGTGTGTTCCGGGACTACGAAGTACTCGGAAGTTGTTAGGATTCAGTATGACCCAAAAGAGTGTAGGTACGAGACTTTGCTTGATGCGTTCTGGGACAGACATGACCCTACCACCCTTAATCGCCAGGTGGGTTTGCTGAATTTTAGAACTTTCTTTGAGTAATTTTTCCAGTTAGTGTTCTAGTTTTCATGGGCTTGGTTGAATTTCTCTGTGGATGCATTGGTTATTCGTAGCTTTGTCTATGTTCGAATGGGTCTTCTTTTGAATTACAGGGTATGGAGTTCTATGCATATACACGCGCGGAAGGATGTTTACATTTCTTGTGCATAATTACATTCATTTCTAAGAGCTCTTGTTGGACGCTTGAATTTTCGATGGGTTTTGACAGATTCTTTTTGTGTTTTAAATCAAGTTTTGATAAGTTTTGGTTGATTGATCTGAGGAAAACAGTTGATGAGACATTTTCAGAAAGGGCCTGAAAAGATTACACTTGTCCTCACTCCCGAGTGACTCCTCTCGGTTTTGAGGAGTCCAAGTGTCCTCGGCATTAATTTCACCCTCCTTCGACGGAGGGGTTCCTTGACGCCGAGGAGAGCTTCCTCAGCCCCGAAGTAATTAGACTTTCTCAGACCTAAGGGTGCTTATCAGCCTCATGATGAGCCTTTAAAACCCTTAAAAAAGGGCTAGTCACTGACAATCGATGCGACCTTCACTGGGCTAATACCCATGATGACACTGCAAGGAAGTCAGAATGACAGGTTGAATTGGACGTCCAGCTAAAGGGAACCAGACACGTGGCATAAAGAGCAGGATAAGGGGTAAAAAGACAGAGTTACCCCTGTTGACATGGGGCTACCGTAGATAAGCATTTAATGGATCTTCAGTTGATGGGATATGTGCTATGGCTTTGAGAGCCAAGGAGTGAAGGCATTAAAAGCGCCTGGGTCCGAGCATTAAGTATCCTCACATCGAAAAAAGGGTATTAAATACTCGGCAGCCCGAGCATTTAATATTGAAACATTCTCAATGCGAAATAGGGGGCACACTGCCCCATCTCTAAAGGGTACAAAAGCCTAGGTCAACAACAATGATGAGTCTTTGAAGGTATAAATAGCCCTCAAAAACACATTACAACGGTACATGCAAAATCATCCTTGAAAAACCAGTGTTTTTCTCTTCCCCGAAAAAAGAACTGACTTGATCGTTGGAAGGGACATGCTGGAAAACACTCCGGTATCCCTCTAACCTTTCTCTGTGTTTCAGGAACTTCTTGTGAATCTCCGAAATCGGTTTGATATCATTAGAAGCAATTCATCACCACTCCTTAGAACCTCCTTGACCCTCTTATCTCATTCTTTGTGGTCGGTTCTATCGTTCCGACGATTCAAACCTCACCCGGAATAGATCGAATACCCCCAAGAACAAATCATTACAATGTTTTAAGCCTCCTTTGTCCCTCTCAATCCATTCTTATTCGTCAAAATCGCCCACTCGACGAAAGCGGAGTTCACTGTGGGAAAGATCTGTCTTCATCCCAACTATTGTGCAAAAATCAGCACGCACAATCTGGCGCCGTCTGTGGGAAATGACTAGAGTTTCCAAAAGAACAATGATCATGGTGAGTACTCGACAAAAGGGAAAGGGTCCTCAACAAAGGAATATCGATTTATCGGTCCCCTTGTATTCAGAAACAAGGGACTGTGTCAAGAGTGCCAACAAGGGGCTCATCATTCATACGAGGGAGCAAACCCATCAAATGAGCATGGATATCGGATTAGGAGCGTCCACGCTGCTGGCCCGTCAATTGGCTAAAGTAATAGAAGAAAAGTTTGGGGACCGGTTACGACAACCGGAAGAGGATAACGTTAACGTCCTCAATCGCCTCAGTGAATTCACAGCTTTCGAAGGAGGATCGCAAAAATCACTCCGGTCCCGGGAACCTTGCTAGAGGGGTAGAACCCGAGGATTTGAGAAATCAATTGAGCAATAGAGTGGGGACCTCCAAGGCTCGGAAGCGCCAAAGAACCAAAGGACGGTTCCTGGATGGCTCCAGTCAAACGGCCAAGCCGTTGGCTAGGGATGACCTTCGTCGAAGTCTGTCCGGGCGAGGGGGTGTGGAGGAGTCCGAGGAGGGATCGACGTTCTCCATCCCCCATGAGCCGAGAGATCGGACTATCTGTCGTCAAGAGCAGGAAAACGTGCTCCCCGGGCTGGGAGATGACCTTAGGACATGGCTAAATTCCAGGAGAAAGGGCAAGGACCCTCAGGAGGATGATACCGAAGACGAAGCCATCCAATCGCCTTTCACAAGAAATATCATGGGAATGGAGATACCAAAGAAATTTACGGTACCACAGTTCAAAACTTATGACGGGAGATCTGACCTCGAAGCCCATCTCAGACAATACAAGCAAATGATGTCTCTTTACCATTCGGATCATCGGTTACTGTGCCGAGTATTTTCGATGAGCTTGGGAGATTCTGCCATGAAATGGTTTGAGACCCCTTTCCATCAAACAANCTCAGACAATACAAGCAAATGATGTCTCTTTACCATTCGGATCATCGGTTACTGTGCTGAGTATTTTCGATGAGCTTGGGAGATTCTGCCATGAAATGGTTTGAGACCCCTTTCCATCAAACAACATAGGGTCTTGGAGGGAGTTGACCAAACAATTCTTTGCCTGGTTTATCGCGGGAAGTAGGCGACCCAAAGATGTCGGGTCGCTACTGACCTTGAGGCGAAAAGAGGGAGAGACTCTTCGCCAGTACGCGACTCGTTATTGGGAGGAGGTGAACGAGGTGGAAGGATCCTCCGAAGTCATGGCAGTAGCCTTTTTTAGGCTCAGGCTGTCTCGGGACACCGAGTTCTATTGATCCTTGACCAAGAAGACGTTGGGCGATATGGGAGAATTGATGGCTCGGATAAACAAGTATTCTTGGATTGAGGATGAGATGGTGGGGAGCAGAGGGAGGACTCTAGCCCTAAAGAAGAAGGAGAAAGAGGATGCCCCCCTACAGAAGGGACTAATACCCTCTACGAGAAGTTCTTTCAAAGGAGTTCACACTGTGTTCAAAGAGTCCATTTACAAATTACTTCATAAAATCAAGAAGGAAGCCTTCTTCAAGTGGCCACCCAAGATGCCAGGTGATCCGTCCACCCGAAACCAAAACATGAGATGTTCGTACCACCAATATTTTGGGCATCGCATTGAAGACTGTAGGACATACAAGTCCTTCCTGGAAAAATTGGTACAGGATGGGCATCTGAAAGAGTTTATTGAAACAACTCCAGAGGAGGTTCGTGGCGTCGATAACCAGACCGTCCAGGGCAATGTGATCGATGTCATTCACGTCTGCCTGATGGAACGCCCAACGTCCAGGACTCTCAGATTCGATCTAAAGAAGATAGCTTTTACGAGAAGAGTAGACGAGAGGGGTGATGGCCGACTGGACAAGAGGCCCCGTGTCGGCAAGGAGGATATCATCTTCTCCAACGTCGACTTAGCAGGCGTGGTCCTCCCCTATGAAGACGCCCTGATCTTGACCTTGAAGATCAGGAGCTTTGATGTTAAAAGAGTCTTGGTGGATTCTGGGAGTTCCTCTGAGATAATGTACTTCGAAGTCTTGAAGTGCATGAGACTCGGCACACAGGATCTCAACAAAGTCAGTACACCCCTCGTAGGATTCAATGGTTCATATGTCCTACCTTTGGGAAAAATCACACTACCAGTTACTACTGGCCCCATCACAACCAACGCAAAATTCGTGGTGATTGATTCTGATTCACCCTACAATATTATTATGGGACGAGCCTGACTGCATGCCCTGGGGGCTGTACATTCGACTTATCACCAGAAATTAAAATTCCCCACCCTGGAGGGAGTTATGGAGATTCGTGGGGACTAGGCGTCCGCCAGAAATTGTTTCTATTCTGCGATAAGAGCAAGGGCCGCCTCCAAGGAAATAGAGCGTGCACCGGAGGAGATTCTAAACAAATAGCAATTACAGTCCGAGCGTCNGAAATTAAAATTCCCCACCCTGGAGGGAGTTATGGAGATTCGTGGGGACTAGGCGTCTGCCAGAAATTGTTTCTATTCTGCGATAAGAGCAAGGGTCGCCTCCAAGGAAATAGAGCGTGCACCGGAGGAGATTCTAAACAAATAGCAATTACAGTCCGAGCGTCTAGGAGTATACGACCCCAGGACAGATCCGGCGGATCGCTCAGTGGAGGATCTTCGGAAGATACTTCTGACTGAAGGAGATGAATAGAGATATTTCCTGATCAGCTCCACCATGATCCTGACCGAACAAGAAGAGATGACAAACTTCTTGAGAAGGAATGCAAATGTGTTCGCATGGGACGCCACGAAAATGAAGGGGATAAGTCCAGATGTCATTACCCATAGACTTCATGTTGACCCAACTTGCAAACCAATAAAGCAGAAGCCCCGGTGTACAGCACCTCACCATGCTCAGGCTGTAAATGAGGAGATTGATAGACTCCTAGAGGCAAAGACCATTCGGGACGTACAGTTCCCGGAGTGGCTGTCAAATACGGTATGCGCAAAGAAAAAGGGAGGAAAGTGGTACGTTTGCGTGGACTTTATTGATTTGAACAAAGCTTGTCCTAAGGATGACTTTCCCCTTCCAAAGGTGGACCAGCTGGTGGATGCCACGACGGGATATTGGCGCATGACCTTCCTGGATGCCAGAGCTGGCTACCATCAAATTCCTATCCATCCGTCTGACCAAGACAAGACAACCTTCATTACTCCTAGAGGGGTCTACTGTTAAAAAGTCATGCCCTTTGACTTAAAGAACGCGAGGGCCACTTACCAAAGGCTCATGAATCGAATGTTCAAACGACAGCTGGAGAACACCATGNACAAGACAACCTTCATTACTCCTAGAGGGGTCTACTGTTAAAAAGTCATGCCCTTTGGCTTAAAGAACGCGAGGGCCACTTACCAAAGGCTCATGAATCGAATGTTCAAACGACAGCTGGAGAACACCATGGAGGTCTACATTGACGAAATGTTGGTGAAAAGTGAGAAAAACGAAGACCATCTGGCGGACCTAGAGGATACCTTCTCGACCCATCGAGAATACGACCTAAAACTGAATGCCGCAAAGTGCGTCTTTGGAGTTGGGTCTGGTAAGTTCCTTGGGTATTTGGTGAGTCACCGTGGGATTGAAGCCAGCCCAGAATAGATACAAGCCATCCTGGACGTGTGAAGTCCCAAAAAAATCCGGGAAGTTTAGAAGCTCACAGGGATGCTGGCGGCACTCTGCCGTTTCATCTCTCACTTGTTAGACAACTGTAGACC